CACATGGAAAGCAGGTTCAGGGTAGTTGATGAACATAGTCTTTAATATGTTGAGTCTGAAAAGAATATGAGACATCCAAGTAGACACATGAAATAGACAGTCAAACATTTGGACCTAGGATTCAGAATACAAATGAAATCTAAAGATAAAAATTTGAAAGAGTCTTCATGAAGTAGTAGGTATATCAAGTTGTGGGTATGGTCTGGGAGACAGTGAAAGGATAAAGAGAGAAGAGAAGAGGTTCAGTGTCAGCTCAAGGGGATCATTATTCATTGGCTATTGGGCAACATGTGGGCTATTATCATTTGTAGCAATTTTACAGAAAGATTTTTAAAGCACTGTATTTGCCATAACATAAACTTCTATTTGCTGCAGATATATGGATGAAGTTAAAAGTTCCCAGGGATGTTTGATTAATGTTTTACTTCCCATGGTCCTCAACTAGAGGGGAAACCAGGTACTGACCAGGGAGAGATTGGAAGTGAACGGGGACTATTTTTTTTCATTGTCACAATGAATAGTGACACTATTATCATTTCATGGTAGGGAGCAAAACACATTATTGTTAAACTCAAGATGATAATAGTGCCTGATCACTGGGACACTGATAGACACTTTTGCCGCATACATTCTTCTGACTTGCTCATTGTAGAGTTCCCAGCTGCCTCCTAGGAAGGGTCACTGGCCCTCCTTTAAGTTCTCACCTCTGCAGCACTCAGTTTTTCCTGGCTTAAATAACTGTTCTCTCCCCTGATCCCCTTGACAACTCTGCTGCTGCTGGCCCCATATTATTGCTCTGTCCCCCACAGCTCCTCTACACCAATATGTGACTATGTACATAATGCTTATATAAATCAACTCCTTGAGAAGACCTCATTTGAGTGTGCTGTCATTTTTGTTAGGATTCTGACTCTTACAACTATCTTTTCCACACATCATTTGTCTCAGATATAGTTTCCTAGGGATCTTGCAATTCTAGATTTAGTTCCCTGTTGAGTTACAGAAAGCTCTTGAATACAGTGATTTTTTTTTTTTTTTTTTTGTACTAGTCTTTCAGGGGGCAAACGTGTCATTTACTTTTGTGATTTAAGCAGCCTGTATATTCTTATCTTGGTGGAGTGGGCTTTCTGTTCTTCTTGAATGTGGTCCAAATAATACCGAACAGAAACTGATATAGTCTCCTATGTTAAGCAATTTATTGAAATATATACTGAAGACATTCCTAAAGAAATACTCAGTTAAGACTCCAATATTCTCTAATAGAGGACATGAAAAAAGTCAGTTTGAACCTAGAAAAAAAATTTAAGGTCAGTTTTTTCTAGTCAACCATGTCAGTCATTAAAAAGTCAATGTAGATGGCATTGAATGAAGGAGGGAATAAAACTTTGCTTTTCTTTGATGACTCAAGATCAGCAGAAACCCAGAGTTCCTATTTTGAACACTTTACAAACCCAACTATAAATGAAGACAGTGACTGAGCAACTGGGCTGATGACAGGCATGCTCTCTGCCGCAGCTGGAAAGTCTGCCCTCAAAAACAGATACTTCAATATTCACATATTTGAAATTGAAAACCAATACTTTGTAAAGTAAACAAACAAAAAAGTAAACCTAACTCCTTAGAAGTAACTTTTCCCCCCCACAGATTTCTCTTTCTTTCTTTCTTGGTGAACATACACACGCACAGTTTAAACATCCTTAAAGTCTTTGAATTAAAGCATCAGTGCACAATTTCAGGAGCTGTTGCTTTCTTCTAGGAAATGTCACACTACTAGAGCTTTCTTTCAGCAATGAGGAGATTTTACCCAACTTTATTATAAATTCTGTTGTGTACGTGCCGACATGTTTCTGAATATTTTACATATCATAACTATATGTTTGAAAATAGCATATTTAGCTATATATATTTTTTCATTGCAATTTTATATGCTTTATTTTTTGGGAGGTGGAAGGGGTAAAGAACAAGAATCATTTTAAAGCATATTTATTTATATTCTTTCTGGTTAAAGAAAATTATGCCAACATTCTCCTGGCCCACATATTCAATTAAATACATAGTGAATCTTTTCTACTTACTGGATTATTTGGTGCTTCCAAGCTTTTATTTTTGGCATTTCATTTCATTTTTGTTTTTGCAGGAATTTTTAAAGTTTTATCATGATTTAACATCTTTATTTTGAAAATCAGGCACATTTAAAATTGCTCTGTAATTTCTGTAAAGTCTGCCCCTATAAACAGATACTTCAAAATTCTCATATTTTGAAAATAAAAATGCAGGTCTATAAATCTGTATGTGCAGATTATTTGCTTATCTATTATGTATTATTCATATATAAATCTATGCAATTGATAAATTCAAATATGCATGTATGTGTTATTTTTCTGAGACTTGAATCTCTGTAGCAGTCTTTTTTATGTGGTATTTTTCATTAGTCATGTTCTAAGCATCTTCAACATGTAAAGCTCTGGGTGATTGATGGGGGTAGGGTAATATCCTAGCATGAATAGTGTGTGTCTCTCTGTTCCCCAGGAGTTTATGGTCTAGTAGAGGAACTAACACATAATAACTATTGATTGGATGTCTCCATTACCAATCAGAGTTGGCTGTGGTCATGAGATAAGAACGAACAAGGTACACCATCTTATGTGTCTGCTTTCTCTCTCTCCTGGAGCAGGCCCTCCACTTCCCTTTGACCCAAGTTAGGATATCCTATAACAATTCTCTGTCTCACTAGTCATTAACAAATTTTTAAATATGCAATATCTTTTTGTTGATTGTAGATACAGTGTTGAACAGCAGACCTGTTGAGCTTATTCATCTTGCTTGACTGAAACTTTATGCCCATTGGTTAGTAACTCCCCATTCCATTCTTCTCCAGCTGATGGCAACCAACATTGCACTGTTTGATGATTATATGGATTAGACTATTTTAGATACCTGACCTAGTAGAGTAATGCAATGTTTGTCTTTCTGTGACTGGCTTATTTCACTTAGCATAACATCTTCAAGATTCATCCATGCATATTGCAGAATTTCCTTCTTTTTGAAGGCTAACTAGTATTTCATTGTATGCAGATTGCAAGCACATTTACTTATCTGTTCATCTATCAATGGACATATAAATTGGTAACATGTCTTGACTCTTGTGAATAGTGCTACAATGAATGCAGGAGTGGCTGCTAATATCTCTTTTAGATTCCGATTTCAATTCTTTTGGTTAAATACCTGTAAATGAGATTGCTAGCTCATAGGGCAGTTCAATTTTAAAAAAAAATTTAAGGATTCTGAATGTTGTTTTCCCTAGTGACTGTACCATTTTGCATTCCTACCAACAGTGTGCAAGCATTCCAACATCCAGTTCAAAATTTTTCTTTTATATATATATTTTTGGTAATAGCTATTTTGACAACTGTATAGAGATATCACATTATGGTTCTAATTTGCTTTTCCTTATGATGAGTCAAGTTGAGCATTGCTTCATATACTTGTTAACCATTTATACGTCTTCTATGGAGAAATGTTTACTGACCCTTTTTTTTTTAAACCAGGTTGTTAGTCAATTTTTTTTTTTTTTTTACTATTGAGTTCTAAGAGTTCCTTATATATCTTAGAGATTAGCCTCTTATCAGATATATGACTTGCAGATATTTTCTCCCAGTCTACACATGGACTTTTCACACTGTTGGTTATTTCCATTGTGTGGGGGAGCTTTTCAGTTTGTTGTGGTCCCTTTTGTTTATTTTTGGTTTTGTTGTCTGTGCTTTTGGTGTCACATCCATGAAATTACTGTCATGACCAATGTCATGAGGCTTTTCCTCTATGTTTTCATTTCAGGTCTTATGCCTTTTACATCTTTAAACCTTCCATCCACTTTTAATTGACATTGTAAAATAGCAGTCCAGTTTCATTCCTTTGCATGTAGCTATTTTGTTTTTCCCAGCAACATTTGTTGGAGAGACTGTCCTTTTTCAGTATTCTTCACTCTTGTCAAAAAGCAATGGACTGTATATGTGGGGCTCTCCACTCTGTTCCATTTGGTCTGAATGTATTGTATTTATGCCACTACACTATTGTTTTGGTTACTGTAGCTTTGTAATATGTTTTGGAATCAGAAATTGTGATGCCTCTAGCTTTGTTTTTCTTTATCAAGACTAATTTGGTTGTCTGTGGTTTTTTGTGGTTCCATATTAATTTTTTTAAATATGTCTGTAAAACATGCCATTTGGGAATTTTTATAGGGATTGCACTGAATCTGTAGATCACTTGGGGGGGCTGTATGGACACTTAAAAAATATTAAATCTTTCAATCCATGAACAAAGATGTCCTTCTGTTTGTGTCTTGTTTAATTTATTTCATCAACTTATTATTAGTATTTTTAGCTTTCAGTATATATGTCTTTCTCTTTCTTAGATACATTTATATATATATGTATATATAAAATGTGTGTGTGTGTGTGTGTGTTGGAGTCTCACTCCTTCTGTCAGGCTGGAGTACAGTGGCACGCATGCTCACAGTCACTCCAGCATCAACCTTCTGGGCTCCAGTGATCCTTCCACCTCTACCGGAAGGAAGTAGCCAGAACTACAAATGCATACTACCACGCCTGATTATTTTTATTTTATTGTAGAGACGAGGTCTCGCCGTTCCCCGGGCTGGTCTTGAACCCACGGGCTCAGGCAATCCACTCACCTCACCTTCCCAAATTGCTGGGACTACAGACTGAGCCACCAAGCCTGGCCTATAAGTATATTTTTAAAATGCTATTACAAGTAAAATTGTTTCCTTTATTTTCTTTTTCAGGTGATCCCTGGTAGTGCACAGAAACACAACTGATTTTTGTGTTATTTTGTAAACTTTTTGAAGGCAGGAGCATGCCTTGTTTGTATTGTTTATATTAATGCATAAATAATAATTAGTAGTTATCAATATTTATTTATATATTTTACATAGTTTCATTGTCAGTAATCTGTGTCTTCTTTTTATTTCTTATTTTGTTTAGGTCTCTACTAGTTCAACAGCTGCTCCTTCAGTTTCTACCCCAGTCACAGGACACAAGAGAATGGTCATCCCAAACCAACCTCCTCTAACAGCAACCAAAAAGTCTACATTGAAACCACAGTCTGCACCCCAGGCTGGACCCATCCCCATGACTCCAATTGGAACACTCAAACCCCAGCCTCAGCCAGTCCCAGCCTCCTACACCACAGCATCCACCTCTTCAAGGCCTACCTTCAATGTGCAAGTGAAGTCAGCCCAGCCTAGCCCTCATTACATGGCTGCCCCTTCATCAGGACAAATGTATGGCTCAGGTCCTCAGGGCTATAACACTCAGCCAGTTCCTATCTCTGGGCAGTGTCCACCTCCTTCAACCCGGGGAGGCACAGATTATGCATATATTCCTCCACCAGGACTTCAACCTGAGCCTGGGTATGGATATGCCCCCAACCAAGGACGCTATTATGATGCCTATTATGCAGCAGGGCCTACCTATGGGGGCAGAAACGACTCTGATCCTGCCTATGGTCAGCACGGTCATCCAAATACATGGAAAAGGGAACCAGGGTACACTCCTCCTCTCGCAGGGAACCAAAACCCTCCAGGGATGTACCCAGTCACTGGTCCCAAGAAGACCTACATCACGGATCCTGTTTCAGCCCCCTGTGCACAGCCACTGCAGCCAAAGGTGAGAAATTCATTAACATAGTGATGGGAATACGAGGGTGTCTATATTATTTTTCCATTCCCAGAAAGAAAAGTCTAAGACAAACGTGTATCTGTTATCTGATTTCATTAGCATATGCAACCCAAGGGAAGCATGAATGAAGCAGAAAAGGAGGGAGACCCTATTTACAGATATGTTACCAATATGGCTACTGTTTAGTATCAACTGCAACTAATTGCTCAGTCTTGAAGGAGCACTTCCAAAAGACCATATGAAACATAGTATCTCAGGACAATCTGTTCTGAGAAAGGGAAAATAATTTATTTTCTAGCTCTTGCCTCCTGCTAGTCCAAACGATCTTCTATGGTACAGAAACTTCCTCTTCACATTGCATTTTTGTATTTACTTGGACACGAAATAGGTCTGCAGCAGCTCATACCTCAGCAGGGACAGAGACCTTCTGTAGGTAAGAGGTATGCAGGACAAATTTGAGCTGTGAAAAATCAGAAATGTGAATGCCCTCAGTTGTCTAGAAGATTTGGCCACATTTTTTAAAAGTACTTACCACATTTGTGGCAAGATTGTTAGTAACCAGACAAATGTGTGCACATATTCAACATTGTAACAAAAATTTTTAGATAGGGTGTTTACTAAACCTTTATTTTCACATGAAAGTTTCTGCTCTGTTGATGGTGCGCCATGTGAATCTCAGGTTCCCTAGAGGAATAGAGCCCTTCCCAACATGTAGGGCCTGTGACAAGCTGGAGGTAGTCATTAACCTTAGGCATGGCAGTTCCATGAAAGTGAGCCAGATGTGATCATTTTCCAATATAAAGATCCCAAGTGAAAATTTTAAATAATTTTAAACATTCTTCTTTGTTTCTATTTTTTTTATTTTATTTTAAAACTGTGGGGTACAATTCAGGGTTAGGTATACAAATATTCATTGGGCAGGTACCCTTTTTGATGAGTTGTGCCCCCCCTTCCCCAGGCAGATTTCGACTACTGTCAATCCCACCTCCCTACCCTCCTACCCCCTTCAGTTTCCCACTACTGACGATACTTTTCCTATAGAATTATGATAGTTATTCAAGGTCCACTTTTGAGTAAGAATATGTGATACTCAGTTCTTTGTTTTGGTGTAAGATCACTCAGTATTATAGACTCTAATTCCATCCAGGTTGCTGTGAATTTCATGATTTTGTTCTTCTTTATGGATGCATGATATTCCATCGTGTATATGTACCACATTTTTTTGTATCCAGTCCTCTACTGATGGGCAGCACGGTTCATTTCATGTTCTTGCTATTGTGAACAACACTGCGATAAACATATGTGTGCAATATCTTTTTTATAGAGTGAACTGAGTTCTTCCAGGTATAGTCCTAGTAGAGGGATTGTGGGGTCATATAGAAGGTCAATTTTTAGAACTTTTAGAAATTGCCACAATGTTTTCCACAAAGGCTGTACTAGTTTACACTCCCATCAACAGTGTAGAAGTATTCCCTTTTCACCACATCCTCTCCAGCATCTGTTATTTTTTGAGTTATTGATGATGGCCATTCTGACTGGAGTTAGGTGGTATCTCAGTGTAGTTTTAATTTGCATCTCCTCAATGACTAGTAAGGTTGAACATTTTTTCATGTATCTGTTGGCTGCTTGTATGTCTTCTTTTGAGAACTGTCTATTCATATATTTTGGCCACTTTGTAATGGGGCTGTTTGTTTTTTTCTTTTTAGCACATTTGAGTTCCTTGTAGATCCTAGATGTTAGGCCTTTTGTCAGACATAGAGTTGCAAATAATTTTTTCTAGTCTGTGGGCTGTCTCCCTGCTCTCTTGATGGTTTCTTTTGCTTTGCAGAACCTTGTCAGTTTGATGTGGTCCCACTTGTCTATCTTATCTCTTATGGCTTGGGCATGTCTGGTTTTAATCAGGAATTGGTTGCCAGTTCCAACTTTCATAAGAGTGTCTCCTGCATTTTCTAAGGTTCTTATGGTTTGAGGTTATACATTTAGGTTTCTGATTCATTTAGAGTTAATTTTTGTGTATGGGGATAGGTAGGGGTCCTGTTTCTTCTGCATGTGGTCAGCCAGTTTCCCCAGCACCATTTACAGAATAGGTTCTCGTCACCCCAGTGGTTGGTGGTGGAGCCTTTGTTGAAGATGCATTGGTTGAGAAATTGAGGTTTTGCTTCTGGAATCTCAATTCTATTCCATTGGTCTATATGCCTGTTATGTACTAATACCGGGCTGTTTTGATTATTGTAGCTTTATAATAGAGTTTAAAGTCTGGGAGTATGTTACATCTTGCTTTGTTTTGTTGTTGTTGTTCTTGCTGTTGTTTTGGAGTGGTTTTGTTTTGTTTGTTTTTTGTTTTGCTTTGTTTTTGCTGAGGATTGGTCATTTATGTTTCCATATGAATTCCTGTATTGTTGTTTCTAGGTCTGAGAATATGGTTGCTGGTAATTTGATGGGTATTGCATTAAATCTGTAGATTGACTTAGGAAGAATGGACATCTTAACAAATGTTGATTCTTCCAGTACATCGGCATGGAATATTTTTCCACTTGTTTGTACCATCTTTGATTTGTTTGAGCAGTGTTTTGTAGTTTTCATTGTAAAGGTCTTTCATATCTCTGGTTAGGAAGATGCCAAGGTATTTCCTTTTTTTGTGTGACTATGGTGAATGGAATTGTGCTTTTTATTTGGGTTTCTGTTTGTTTATTATTGGTGCATAGAAATGTGATTGTCTTTTGTACATTTATTTTATACCCTGAGACTTTGCCAAAGTCCTTTATCAGTGCAAGAAGTTTTTAGACAGATTCTCTTATGTTTTCAAGGTATAGAATCATGTCTGCAAAGAGAGAGACCTTGACTTCCTCTTTTCCTATTTGGATACCCTAATCACCTTCTCTTCCCTGATTGCCCTAGCTAGGACTTCCAAAACTATGTTGAACAAGAGGGGTGAGAGTGGGCATCCTTGTCTTTTTCCAGTTTTCAGGGGAAATGGTTCCAATTTCTATCTGTTTAGTAGTTTGCTGGCTGTGGGTTTCTTGTAGATGGATCTTACTATTTTGAGATATGTTCCATCTATGCCTAAATGTTTGAAGGTTTTCATCAAGAAGAGGTGTTGGATTTTATCAAAAGCTTTTTGTATCTAATGATATAATTGTGTGATTTTGCACCTGTTCATGTATCTAATTACATTTATGGTCTTGTGAATGTTGAACCAGCCTTGCGGTCCTGGGGATGAAGCCTATTTGGTCATGGTGGATGATTTTTGATATGTGTTGTTGAATCTGGTTTGCTAGGATCTTGTTGAGAATGTTAGCATCTATGTTCATCAAGGATATTGGCCTGTAGTTCTCTTGTTGGATCTTTACCTGGCTTGGGTATTAATATGATGTTAGCTTCATAAAATGATTTGGGGAGAGTTCCATCTTTCTCAATCCTCTGGAATACTTTCAATAAGATTGGTATCAGTTCCTCCTTGTATGTTTTGTAGAATTCTGCTGGAAAGCCATCTGGTCCAGGACTTTTTTTTTTGTAGGTAATTTTCTTATGACATAATCAATTTCCTTGATTGTTATTGGCCTATTTAGGGTCTCAGTTTCTTCTTGTTTCAACCTAGGGAGGTTGTATGATGTCAGAAAGTCCTCCATTTCCTTTAGGTTTTCAAGTTTGTTTCCATGTAAGTGTACATAGATAATCTTTTGTATTTCTTCAGGATCAGATGTAACTTCATCTTTTGTGTTTCTGATTGTGTTTATTTGGGCTATTTCTCTCTCTTTCTTGATCAGTCTAGCTAGAGGACCATCAATCTTGTTTATCCTTTCAAAGAACCAGCTTTTTGTTTCATTGACTTTTTTGTATTGTCTTTTTGTCTTCTATGTCCTGGATTTGGGCTTTTATTTTGGTGATCTGAATTCTTCTGCTGAAATTGGGGTTTTGATTATCTTGTTTTTCCAGCTTCCTTAGGTGACTTGTTAGGCTGTTAACTTTTGATCTTTCCATTTTCTTCATGTGCGTTTGTAGAGACATGAACTCCACTCTTACTACTGCTTTCATGGCATCCCAGAGATTTTGGTAAGATGTTTCTTAATTTTCATTTGTTTCCATGTATCTTTTAATCTCTGTTTTGATTTCCATGTTGACCCAGGAGTTGCTTAGCATCTTGCTGTTTAGTATCCATGTCTTTGTGGGTCTGGGGGGAACCTTGTTGGTGTTGATAATTATTTTTATTCCACTGTGGTCTGAGAAGATGCATGGAAAAATTTCAATATTAAAAATTTGTTTATGCTTGATTTATGGCCAAGGTTGTGATCGATTTTGGAATATGTTCCATGCAGTGAAGAGTAGAATGTATATTCTATGGTCGTTGGGTGGAGTGTTCTGTAGGTATCAATTAAGTCCATTTGGTCAAGAGTCACATTGAGGTTCCGGGTTTCCTTGCTGATTTTTTGTCCTGATGATCTGTCTAGGGTTGTGAGTGGGGTATTAAAGTCCCCAGTTATGATTGTGTTTGAATCAATATCTTTTTTAAGTTTGCCTAGAAGCTGCTTTATGAAAGTTGGTGCTCCTGTGTTGGGTGCATATATGTTTAGGATGAATATTTCTTGTTGAAGGATGGAACCTTTTATCATTATGTCGTGACCTGTATCTTTTAAAATTTTTGATAGGTTAAAGGGTATTTTGTCTGAAATTAATATTGCAACTCCTCCTTTCTTTTGTGCTCCATTCACCTGAAATTTTGCTTCCCATCCTCTTACCTTGAGTCTGTGAGTGTCCTTTCTAGTGAGATGAGTCTCTTGGAGGCAATATATTGTTGTCTGATGCTATTTTATCCATTTTGCCAATCTATGTCTTTTCAGTGGTGCATTTAGTCCATTCATATTCGGGCTAATTATTGAAATGTGAGAGTTTATCCTTGTCATGAGGTTCTTCTAGAATTGTTGTTGTTCCTGTTTGTTGTCTTTCCTTTGATTTTTGGGTTGATTCATGTGTGTTTTCAATCTTTTTCC